AACTTTGTCATTACCAACACTATTACTATGACATTAAACACCATAATCATTAAATTGGTGGTGGTGGCAATGTCGCTAACGATGCTAGTGGTGGTAGCTATGGTAATAGTGGTGAGTTGATGATAGGGGATGATGGCAATGTTGACATACTTGGGGATTGATGACCATGATGGCGTGGTGGTGATAAGTAGTGGTTAAGGATAGTGTCACGTCCCATCTCAGTCTCCCAAGGATGAGACGCGATCAGATTTTTGATACACTTGTTTACATATATAATCTGGATTAATAAAATACTAAATAATTTCAAAGGTGCAACAACACTACCCATCACCATAGTCATTAAGCATAATGGTAATACCTAACTCATAACCTATACCATTTGCTTGTTTCCAGGTTACATTCACATACAAAATCCCACACCCATATAGCATACATCACCAAGTATGTTTGTTGAATCTGTTTACAATTATATACTATTTACCCGCCATAATAATCTCTTAGTCAATAAAATATGTAACCCAACAAATAATTATACATACACTCAACATGTATCGCTCACTCATTAAAACTAAATACATAATTAACAGACATACAATCTGAGTAATATCACACTAATTTCGTTGGACCACTCTGGACTGAACTTAACTCCACAAGACAATACTCAACCGACTGGACAGTGGACTGATCTGCAACTCCCTCTATAGTACCTGAAAAAGAGAAACTATAAGGGTGTGAACTAAACCACGCGCTCAGTGAGTATACATGCTGTATATGAAATGAAAATGATAGTAATACACAGAAATAGGTAGATATTACGTAGATACACATATCAAACAACAACATCAATCCAATTTCAAAGAATTCAAAGTCACAACACATCCATACTACCCCTCATTGGGTAGTCGATCCCACATGGATCCGTGTCTCCTGAACCTCCTAGGAACACTATAGTGCTAGCACACTACTGCACGCGCAGTGATCAAGCATTGACGCTCTTGTCTCTGACAGTGCGTCATATTTCACAATACACAATACATAATACAAAACATCATTCAATCACATAAACACATAGCACATAATCCTGGAGAAATGCCATTAAATTCTATCATTTACTATCATCTTACAATAGCATTTTCAAAACATATAAAAATATACACCCACCTCAAGTGTACAAGCGGAACCATATTGGCTGATTCGATGATGATATCTCGACGACTCAGGATTAACTTTGATACAACTTAGACTCCCTTCAGTGTTACTGTATCTATCTTAACATCGACTGTCCCACCAGTTCCACCTAACACATTTGTAATTACAATATCAATATGTTTATCACATTTAATAATTAATCATGTACTAATGCATGCAAAATGTCGTATTATTGGATCAAAATTCACACTTGTGATAATAACATTTATAAATCAAGGTTTCGGCATTACCGACACCCATTTCAACTTCTATCGCACTTTTCTTTTAAAACAACCACACTTAAACTCACACACACATTTGATCATGCAAAATACTCCCGCTTGAATATCCATTTGAAACCCTTTATTAACAACTCTTTAATTATGCTTAACACACTTAATTAGACTCATACAAAGTCTTTTTTGAAATCTGAATAAAACAGCCCCCCCACACACTAAAATGAACACACACACACCCTTATACCTTTCTCTTGATTTCTTCTTCTTTCCCCACCTTCTTTTTGCTCTCTCTCACTTTCGATTTGGCATGGAGGTTTCCCCCAAGTTCCTCCCTTTTTTTTCTTTCTTTCTCCCTCTCGGTTTGAACTAGGAGCACCCACCAAAGTTTGGTTTCTCTCTCCCTCTGTCCCTCCTTGCTCACGGCTCAAGAAGACACACACACATATTTTCTTCTCTCTCTCTCTTGCTCTCTCTCACTCACAATTTAGGGAAAAAAATAACATACACACACACACACACTGAATCATGTTTTAAACACACACACATTACTACACCTTAAATTAGACACACACACATTCCACCTTAAATTACACACACACACGCACAAGGCACACACACACACACATCCACTTAGCTTTTAAGTTGACTCACCCACTTCATATTTCTACACATGTACGGATGACTCATTCTAATTGGGTAATTATGCTTGCCTCCCCCAAGTTCTTAAGTGATTTTGAAATCGACTCACTACTATTTTCACACATGAAATTTCTATAAATGGGTATCACTAATACATCAGTAACGGTCCACATACCCGATGTATGTTCACACACATCAAGGTTAAGAAAGGTTTACTTTAATTAACTCTTTACTAGTTTCATATAATTATAATTTAGCCCACTTAATTATGCTATATATGCATGCAATGCATGATCAAGTCTCACAGATAGGGTAACTAGAAAAATAATAATTTTGATATTTCAACTATTTAGAGCATTTTCAATAGAGCCGTCAAATGTTATATGTCAAATTTAAATTTGAATGTTTATTTGGAAATTTGACATATAGCATTTGACATCTTTATCTTGCACTCCAAGCAATATGTCAAAATAATTTATTTTATCCAATCTTTATCTTTAATCTCTTTCTTTATATTAATTTAATATATATATATTTAAAACAAATTTTGGAATCAATTAAAATAAATATTATTAAAAATAATACACTTTAAAGAATTATCAATTTTATATGAAAAGTAGTATATATTTTATTGAAACTAAAATTCTCAATAAACTTAGCTAATACAAATTTCATAGACATAATTTTGAACAATATGATATAATTGAGTGCTTAAAATTTCATAGATACTTAAGTCTAGATCTAACTTTATGTAAATTTCATATTGGTGGGACAGTCATATAAGAAATCTCAATTTAATGGACTTATAGTGTCAAATGACTTTTGATAGGTTAGTCTAATGTAATAAAACCAATTTTTCAGTACCATACATTTTTTAATTATATTATGAAATGAAGCGTGAAAAATTCTATTATTTTTATATTTCATGTTAACGATCAATAATTAAAAATAACTTTAATTAAAATTTACAATCAAAAATTTTCTTTTAGAATGGTAGTGTTATCCAACTTCTTTTTTTTGTAGTTCAATAGTTAAGGGTGTTCAGGTCAATTTACAGGCACATCGATTAATCTCTTATTTTTTTTATCAAAGACAAGTCATTCACATTGAAATTAAATTTTTTTTAAGAGATATATCTTTTATAATCTAGACCTAAGATTTAAATTTAAGACTTTTAATTTTATAACTTGCCTTTGTTATTAGTCGATGTACCCGGAGTTATTCAACTTTTGATTGAGCATAACTTGGACATGAAGTACCCCTATAGTGTGAAGTGTCAACGAACTTTTGACCAAATTTAGCAATTAATCCCTTTGGCCTCCGTCAATCAAGATGGTTTAATATGAAAACTTAATAAGGATTGGCTGTCACATATTGACAACGAAGTACTCATTTTTTTTTTCTTTGTACTGTCATGGTCCTCATGAAGTCATACACGAGTCTGCAAATACCGTCCAAGTCTCGAATATTTCGGATCACACTAACACCCACTCTTCGACAACTCCAAAGCTCCATCTTCCAAATCCTAACAAAAACGTCGCTTCTCGACCTTGTCGTTCTTTTTTCTCTCCTATCTCTGTCGTGGTATTCATCGTCACTTCTTGCCTTCGGATAAAACCCACTTCGTACTAGTAAATGACAGTTTCCAAAGCTTTGACAAGTCCTCTATCGACGGCCACTTCGTCTTCCAATCGAATGACGACTATCTCTCTCACCTCCAATCCCATTTCAAGCTGTTCTGATCGTAGACACGCATTCCAATTCTTCTTCTCTCGACGTCCTTCGATCAATCCGAAAGTACACAAAAAAAGCATCCCAAATCGCATTTATCAGAATCGACTTTGGGTTCACTGTGAGTCCAAGGTACTTCTTTGGATACCCTTTTATGGATTCAAAATAATTTTCTTGTACCATGTTTTTTTTTCCGGTGAGTGTCTGGTGTGGTCAAGATGATTTATAAATACCCTTTTGTGCATCCTCTTCATTTGAATTGAATTATCTTGCATCAATTGATCACACTGTGGAAATGCTAGTTTAATTACGTTTTATCAAAGAATTAGTGTTCTGTGCGCTTTTGGAAGCGCATGAAGTTCTTGGGCTTTCATGAAAAAAATTGGATTTGCTTTTTGTGTTTACTGTTCTGATGATGTTGATGCTATGTTTTTTGGGCCTTTAATATACCGTTAAAATTTCTGTTGAAGGGATTCGGGTGCTTCTATGAGATTTAACCCAAATTTGGAAGTTATTGTGTGGCATGACGTTGACATTTGGGTGCAGGTTGGGTTGAGCATATCTGGATTGACTTTTAGTCTACTTATTCAGAAAGAATTAGGTGTTAATTGGGGTGCAATTAAGTCCAAACCTAACCTTTACCTGTATAATTCTTCTTACCAGCAAGATGCTGTTTCTTTAAACTGACTCAGCCCACAATTCAGTTCAAAAAGGCAAAAGAAAGAGAGAGGTGGGGGGAGAGGAGTGTTGAAGGCAATACTGGTGAGGACCTACGTGCTTAGATTGACCGACTGCTTCAGAACTTTCTATTTTTCAAATGTTAAAATTTGAAAAAGTTCATGTAATGATAATTTTTTTGGGCAACTTAAATAATCATGGCATTATCTCCTCTATAGTACCTCATAATGAAAGAAAGATAAATTATTTTGGGAAAATGAGGAAGTGAGAAACTTTATTAAAGATTGAGGGGGTAGAAAAGAGTTAGAAATGGGTTAGACAGAAAAGGAGGAGACAGGAGAAGAGAGAGGAAGAAGACTGAAGGGGCAGAGATATATTGACCGGCAACAGTGAGATACATAACATATTGGAATACACTCCCTAGTAGTTTACTGTTTTTCAGATTTTTATTTTATTTTTACTGTTTTTCAGATACAAGGCATGCAATTCTGCCCAAATGTGTTAAAAAAAAAAAATTCTGTGTCAATGCTCTCTGCCTCCACAGAGCTCTGGCATGGTCATGGTACTAGCTTTTCTAATGGTGGCATAAAAGCTGCTGAAAAATCCGGGAAGCTCTATTTTAGTGGATATGTTTCTCATGTTGGCTTTGCATAGGCACAACCCCACTAGCCTAGAAGAGGATAAAGAAAAATTAAAAGAAGATATCTTCTGCCCCAGAATCAAAGAAGACATCTTATGTTTCTTTTTGGCTTTATAATATGTAATGTATTTTCTATGAAAGTAATCTTCCTCAGGATGCTACTTTCTGGAATCTTACTCGGCATGCTGACTTAACATGAATTAGCTTTAATTACTAAAAGCAGTACAAACTTCTTTGGACACGTGATAAGATTTATTAGAATATCCAGTTATAACTGCATATCCATATTTTGTTGGGGTTTGTAACCAGCAGGTTCGGTACTACTACCCTCCATTTTGGAATAATGCTGGTTAAGTTTGAATCTGCACAAGGAGAGCCATTTTCAAGTGCAAAGCTTCAAATATCATGACCATGTTTGAAAGCTTGGAAAAAAATTTGTTTTTGTTTGAGAGCCTTTACTTTTCATTTGAATTTCTGTTGTATGGAAAACATGAGGCAGATAAGGGGTTAACATCTTTTTTTAACAACAATCATTGTAGACAGCAGAAATACAGGCTAGACGGTGTTCTCCTTTTCTAGAAAGTGAATTGCTTTCCGGGAACGATGTCATGCCGTCTGCTGAATGGAAAGCTGTTCCTGACATTTGGAGGTCTTCAGCAGAAAAATATGGTGATCGGGTAGCATTGGTGGACCTGTATCATGACCCTCCTACGAAGATGACATATAAAGAGGTCAGATTTTTTTCCATAGTTTGTTCTCCATATTCTTCAATCTTCACCATCTGTCCATTACGGAGAGAGCCTTTGATGTCACCAGAAAAGTAAAAATTATTAGTGCAATCTGTGAATTGGAGAACTACTAGATGATTTACATTTTAAGGTTAAATATTTGGGTGCTGTTGTTTAACACTTCCATTATTTGTCATTGTTGGCTGCATCTTCTTTTCCATCACCCTAGTACTGTTGACACAAGCATCAGTACAGGACTTTGGTATTAGTGACTATTCACTTGGCAACTCCATGAACTCTGGACACAAGCACCATACATGTCTCTTACTATCTGTTTCATGGGACCTATTTCAAGGTGTGTGCAGAATTCTACATGGAAGAAAGATTAAGCATACTTTAGTACTCAACTAAAAAATAAGGGGGATTGGTTCATCATAATTGTCTAACGACTAAGATTTGTCAATGTGTAAGCTGGTATTAGATGTCTTATTTTGTTTGTCTACTTAGTTTTCCTATTATGCTGACTGCCAGAGAGGGAGTACTATGATGGGGGGTATAATTAACCATGAATCACTATAAACTAAGTTTCCTTTCCTTTAAAATTCAAAACTTTCGCACTTTTTCGTAATGTCTGGGTGTAAGGTACGAGTAATGCAAATCATGTGCGTGGAATTACCCTCATGATGGCATGAGTGATGCAGTTTTGCTTGATGGGGTGGCTCAAGCATGTGGTTCGAGCCCATAATTAGGCTTACCAGTGGCATGTAAGACACATAACACCGGTGCTAAATTCATAGGCATAATTGTTAGTATCGTACGATATACAATACGATACATCGTTGAGATACATGAAGAAACCAATACGTATCACTTAAGTGTATTGGTTTGCATCGTATCATGCGATATTCTATACAATACACCCGATATATTAGATGATACCTATGAGTCGTTCGATACGACACAAAACATATCAAAAAAAAAATTCTTTGAATTTTAACCAGAAAATAACGTCTTTTCATTTGAAAGTAATTTTTTCAAACACTAGATAATAAAATGATGTCGTTTTACTATCTACATTTTTTAAGAAATAAAAGTCTTTTTTTTTATTCGTTCCATCGCAAGAGCAAATAGTTTGATGGTTAAAAGTGTCATCTTTTTGCTACTTTAGATGTTAGAACTAGAACTCTCTAAATTTTGATATTGATAAATTATGTTAGAAACTTCAATACTTAGATTTTTATTATTTTTTTTGTTTTGGTCTTTGTAGTCTCTTTAAATTGTTTTATGTGAGAAATTTGTTGTGCAATAAAATGTTATTATAACATTTTGTTATTATTATATTTCGTTATAGGTATGTGTATTTTTTAATATCTTTTATAAAACTACATGTATCTTACGATACGCGATATACTGTTTTTGAAAAACGATATGCCTTCCGCTACACGTTTTGACAACCTTGCTCATAGGTACTAGGCTGACTTGCATTACAACATGTTCTTTTCTAACTGTTACTCCGTGCATGCAACTCCCCTATAGCTGTCTCATGCAGGCCAGAATTCTGCCCGCCATGACATGGTTCAAAGTATCAGCCGAGTCCGAGTCAACTCGGCCGAGTCGTATCCGTCTCGGCAGTTGCTGATCCGATAACGATACACGGTACAATAATATTACGAGATTCAACTGAATTGGTACTGACTCGATTACAACTCGGTGGTATCGGCCCAACTCGGAACTAAATCGGTTAGACTCAGTCGAGTCGAACCGAGTCAGACCGCTATGGTGTATTTGGAAAATCTGGGTAGCAAAACCCAAAAAAAAAAACAGAGTAAGGAAGAAGAAATTGGGTGAGACTCACAGTGAGCCGACTCCAACTCAGCACAACTTGGCTGATTCGCATATAATAGACCACAAATATTGAGGAAATTCCAAAAAAACAAAAAAGAAAGAGATGAAGTATAAAAAGACCCAGAAAATCGAAGAATCACCGTGATCAAAAGGCCTCTTCTTCTTCTTCTTCTTTCGGTGGAGACTCATAGCAGAAACCCTAAGTTTACAGATCAAAAAATCTTCAATCGTTCCTTACTGTTCGCTTCTTTCGGTGGAGACCTATAGCAGAAACTTTCCTTCGCTTCTCGCTAGCGCTCTTTGTCTGTTTGTCTCTCTCTCTCTCTCTCTCATGATTGAGAGGCAAGGAGAAGACAACACAGACCACACACAGTATTTATATTTTATGGGCCACTCACCCTTCGTTTGCTTTTTGTCCTTAGACATGTGTTTATATTTTATTGACCCTTACCCCTTATGTATCAAAAATCTCTAATTCAATTAGTAAATTATTGGAAAAAATAATTAGGAGAAAAAATAAAATTAAATTAGAACAATGACTCATTAATTTATTAATTGAACACAAAATTATTCATGTAAAATATTGAGATCTACTCATACTTGTCAAATTTATAATTTATGGATACATATTTGCTGTTTTTATTTTTTTTTAAATTAGGTACTAGTCAGTTAAAAAAATTATAATAACATATGTTTAAAATTTAATGTGTTTTTAAATAAAAACATTCAACCTAAATGATGGCAAATATTTTCGGTAGCGTCCTTATAATTCATTTTTATTATGTTTAATGTGTTAAATAATGTATTTTTGGGATATAATGCATGAATGATGACATTTACATATTTTTAAAATTTTTCATGATTTTTTTTATATTTTTTTGAGTCTTCAATGTAGCGTTTTGAGCGTATCGGCCGATACGACGCTGCGACACCGCGACCGATGTGTCTCGGTGCCCTCCGAGTCGATGACCAATACCGCGACTTTGAACCATACGCCATGATCATGCATGTGAACTAGGTTGTCAGCACCATGGTTCAAAGTCGCGGTATCGGTCATCGACTCGGAGGGCACTGAGACACATCGGTCGTGGTGTCGCAGCGTCGTATCGGCTGATACGCTCAAAACGCTACATTGAAGACCCAAAAAAATAAAAAAAAATCATGAAAAATTTTAAAAATATGTAAATGTCATCATTCATGCATTATATCCCAAAAATACATTATTTAACACATTAAACATAATAAAAATGAATTATAAGGACGCTACCGAAAATATTTGCCATCATTTAGGTTGAATGTTTTTATTTAAAAACACATTAAATTTTAAACATATGTTATTATAATTTTTTTAACTGACTAGTACCTAATTTAAAAAAAAATAAAAACAGCAAATATGTATCCATAAATTATAAATTTGACAAGTATGAGTAGATCTCAATATTTTACATGAATAATTTTGTGTTCAATTAATAAATTAATGAGTCATTGTTCTAATTTAATTTTATTTTTTCTCCTAATTATTTTTTCCAATAATTTACTAATTGAATTAGAGATTTTTGATACATAAGGGGTAAGGGTCAATAAAATATAAACACATGTCTAAGGACAAAAAGCAAACGAAGGGTGAGTGGCCCATAAAATATAAATACTGTGTGTGGTCTGTGTTGTCTTCTCCTTGCCTCTCAATCATGAGAGAGAGAGAGAGAGACAAACAGACAAAGAGCGCTAGCGAGAAGCGAAGGAAAGTTTCTGCTATAGGTCTCCACCGAAAGAAGCGAACAGTAAGGAACGATTGAAGATTTTTTGATCTGTAAACTTAGGGTTTCTGCTATGAGTCTCCACCGAAAGAAGAAGAAGAAGAAGAGGCCTTTTGATCACGGTGATTCTTCGATTTTCTGGGTCTTTTTATACTTCATCTCTTTCTTTTTTTTTTTTTTAGAATTTCCTCAATATTTGTGGTCTATTATATGTGAATCAGCCAAGTTGTGCTGAGTTGGAGTCGGCTCACTGTGAGTCTCACCCAATTTCTTCTTCCATGCTCTGTTTTTTTTTTTTGGGTTTTGCTACCCAGATTTTCCAAATGCACCATAGCGGTCTGACTCGGTTCGACTCGACTGAGTCTAACCGATTTAGTTCCGAGTTGGGCCGATACCACCGAGTTGTAATCGAGTCAGTACCGATTCAGTTGAATCTCGTTATATTAATATACCGTGTATCGTTATCGGATCAGCAACTGCCGAGACGGATACGACTCGGCTGATACTTTGAACCATGGTCAGCACTGGCTACCCATAGATCTAGGGGTTCCAACGTTCTGTAGGGATCATATCGCGACCAACCTCATCTTTGAACACCATACACGAGCAACTAAGCTTTTGCGTGTCACGACCAAAAACTAAGCTTTTGCCTGCAGTTGCAGCCTTTGCCACTGCCATATCACCCTTAATTGCTAACATAATAGTCCTCTCACTATCACTGTTTCCTCTCGGTCCTTCCCCCAAATTCCTACTACCTGTCACTCCATGTGGCACTAACTAGGAGTAAATTCCCAAAATCCCCATCCTCTATAATGGCTGACCTACATTAGTAAGGTAAACGTGAAAGCTGGAACGTGTTTAGATTGTGTTAAACTGTATTTCATTTTTGCAAGGCTTCAGAATTATTTGGAAGTAGATCTGTGTAAAAGGTTAGAAATAAAGGCTTGGGCTGGAACCATCTTAAACTGTCATCATACCATTTTGGTCAAGAAATGTGAAAATGGCATACTAGCAGAATTTTTAATGGACGGGTCATCTCAGGTAATAATGTTTCTGTATCTTAGCTTAGATTCTACTGAACTTGATTGAGATAAATGTCCCATTAAAAGCTTATACGTGTCAGTGTCTGAGAATTTGTTGGGGGCAGTCTTTTAAGGAGCATGTTTTTAGCCAAGGGAAACTTTTAAGAAGTTTAATGTGGTGGGAAGAATACAGCCAATGATAATAGGGTTCCTTCAACGCTGGAGCATCACTGGCTGTATTCTGTTGGAAGTCAAAATTTCTTGTCAGCTTGTGGTTTATACTTGAAAAGTAAAAGTCCATATGCTATTGTTAAATGTCAACAGCGCAATTGGTATTCACAGTGATACAATGCATGCCTAACTGTTTAAAAACATAGTTTTGATTCATCTATTTGGTTGATTAATTGATTAATGGATGTCTTTGCTTGCTACTTTAATTACAGTTGGTGTCACTTTGTTATTCCTCTATAACTTTGGTAATGTGGACTGTTGTGTATTTGTTATTTGAAAACACAATCGCTTCTTTTCTCTGTAATTTGCTTTCGAAATCCATTTTTGCTTTTCAAAATTGCAGCTCGAGCAGGAGATTTTGGACTTCTCGGAAGGCTTAAGAGTTATTGGAGTAAAGCCAGATGAAAAACTTGCACTTTTTGCTGATAATTCGTGCCGATGGCTAGTTGCAGATCAAGGTATGCAGCTGTTTATGTGAACAAAATTTCAGTGCCTGCAAAATTACTGGTTAAACAAAATAATTCTAGATCTTGGTATCATCCTCTTGGTTTCCTCGACATTCCTTCTTTATGTGTCCATGTACAATTGAATATGATTTTTCTGTTTTCTTCAGGGTACCTTTATATGTCTGACATTTTTAGTATTCTTAGTAAATGTTCTAATTCTTCACTGGTTAGTACTCCTTTTTTTTCTCAGAAGTTTTTCCTTGCATGGTTGTTAAAGTGGAAAATACTCTGTGGACTTAGAGATGCCTTTCTAAATGCCCAATGGCCCCTTTAAATCTCAAAGGTCATTTCTAAATGCATGCCCTTGCCAATTGGGTTTTTTTTTTTTTTTT